TTTTCTTAGATTATAATTTTTTTAGTCTGAAATTGAAGAGTCCAAATTTTTTTAATTTAATTCAGTTTGTTTCATTTAATATTTTCTACCTTGCTTTAAACTTTTGCATAAAATTTAATTATTTATGTATCATTTTTACTTTTTTTTTTTGCTCTTGTAATAAAAAGGAGAAAAAAATAAAAATTTAAAAAGTGAAAACAAGAAATATTTAAGAAAATTAGAAAAATAAAAAGTAAATTTCTATCTATTTTATTTTAGCTAATAATCCAAACTTGAAAACTCACGTGTCTGTTTTCCCGTCCTGTCAAAAAACCCTAACACTACCCTCTACCGTATAAATACCCTCTCTTTCATAACTCGCGTCCTTTTGCCGTCTCGGAATATCCTAGCAGCACTAAGAAACTGCCGGAATCAGAAGCATCGACGGCTAAGAAATCTCACGGAACACCGCGTGCAGCTCCAATCTCGGCAAACAAGGTATTGCGTCCCCTACTCATTTTTCTTGTTTTGAATATCGTTAATTGAAAACTGAGATTGTGGATTTATATCGAAGGCATTACACTATTTCCGATTTTTGTTTCATTATCTTTCTTTTTTTTTTTTCAGATTTCCATATTTCACTTATTTCGTGTTGCTTTAGCTGTCTTTGCCCTATGTTCTGTCTGATTTCTTTTCAATCTGTTTTTTTTTTTGGCACAAGTGAATGAACATACATGTTGAAAATGCCTGCTAATTTTGTTCCTTGGATTTATTTATTGCCTATTCAATTTACCTGTTGCTTGTTTCGTCTGTCTTGTCTGTTTTACTTGAGGTTCGATTCTGTTTATTGATTGGTGTCTTGTTGATGCTTAAAGTAAATAACTAGGTGAGCCAAAGGCTGCTTCCTCTGTTTTCTTTTGTTTACTTTTTTTGTTTTCTGATATATGTGACCTTTTTGTGTGTTACATATTTCCCTTCTATTTGAGGATCAATAAATTACCTTGATTGATTTATGTTTCTGAAATATTGGTTTGTATTTTTTCTATCCGAATATCCTTTTCTGGGTATTGATAAATTACAATGGTTTATGTTAGACTTCATGATTGATTTGTCAATGGCAGTGTATATTATCTGTCACTTGTCGAACATGTAACCAGTTAGTTATTTAAGCTTTGCAGTGTCTGTAGGTAGTATGATGTTTAGGGCGTGGAGAAAAGGTTTAAAATGTTTTCTTCCTTAACTCGTTGGTTGTATAATGGAATGGGTTTCAGTGCATATATGATAAAAATGGTTTTACAGATTACTACAAACAAAAAATATTATAATTCTTTTGCATTGCATATAGACTAGTTTTGCAATTAATGAAACAAATCTCCATTCTCAGTTGGAGTCTGTCTGCTATTTAGAGTATGTTGCATAAGTTATGATCATGGTTTATTGTCTCTTTTTGATTCTCTTTACTTCATACGATCCTGTATGAATTTTTCTTCAAAACTTTTCCCCTTTGTTTGTCTATTTGGATTCTTTGGTCTGTAACTCTTCCTAGTAGATTAGGACTTCCCCTTATTTTCTCTTTGGATCGTATTAGTTCCCTATCTCCATTAGTAAATTGTGTGATTCATTTTTAGTTGAGCTGAGAGTCCAATGGTTGTAGTTCACTCACGAGAGATTTTGTTTCTTTTGTGTATCGTAATATGGACCCAAAAGGCACCTAAGTAGAACATTCTTAATAGGCTTAGTTGATGAGTCACATCCCAGGTTAAGTGTCTAACACCTTCTTACTATGTGAGCAATTTTCATTTTACGCTCTTCGCTTAATTAGATTTATTTCGCATTCTAAACATGCTGTTATTTGGGTTAAGAGAAATTCTGGTACATGTAATTTATCTATATGCAAAATTGTTTATTTTTAACGAAAAGGTGTGGTTGCTAACAGGACTGAGATTGTGAGGAGAGTGGCTTTTGCTTGCTGAAGGACAAGTATGGTGAATGTTTCCTCTTACCGCAACTGTAAGCTCATTTTCTGTTTCCCTGTATGCCTCCTGGGTGCTTTTAGGTGTCTATTTATGGATGTGACAAAATTAACTGTTTTCTTGTCTTGGCTGAGTTTTGATATGTTCTGTAAATCCTGAACGATGCAGGTGGAAAGACATTCAAGAAGCCACGCCGCCCTTATGAGAAGGAGCGGTTGGATGCTGAGCTGAAGCTGGTGGGTGAGTATGGATTGCGATGCAAGAGAGAGTTGTGGAGGATTCAGTATGCTCTAAGCCGCATCCGAAATGCTGCAAGGGAGTTGCTCACCTTGGATGAGAAGAACCCACGCCGGATCTTTGAAGGTGAGGCTCTGCTACGGAGGATGAACCGCTATGGGCTTTTGGATGAGAGCCAGAACAAGCTTGATTATGTCTTAGCATTGACCGTGGAGAACTTCCTTGAGCGTCGCTTGCAGACCCTTGTTTTCAAGTCGGGTATGGCAAAGTCCATTCATCATGCCAGAGTGCTCATTAGACAGAAGCATATCAGGTAAAGTTATCTAATTTGGTGCCTGTCATTGGGATATTAGCAGCTTATGGTCGATTCTTTTCTACTAAACAGTTGTTCTGATCATGGTATCTTACTTTGTATCTCTTGAACATGTTTTAATCCAAGTGCATGTTTCTGGGGGAAAACCGCAAAGCCCAAACTAGCAATAAGATGCTATTTTGAAAGAACTTAACTTGAGAATATTTAAATTTGAAGGGATTTTGGGTTTCCAATGGAACAATGGATAATATTCCTATGGGCATTATGATTTCATTGTCAAAAATCCTGATTAAGATGACAGACGGATGTTACAGTGAAACCATGTAGTTTTTTTAATGTTTGCAAAACCCTGTTGTCTGGTTACTGTTGAGACCATGGATATGGTTGTATCCCTGAAGGATGATAACGGTTGTTTTGCATATAGCTTTAGCTGACGGCACTTCAGACACCAGTATGGCAAATATGTATTCTTCTTAAGGAATATGGTAAAATATATTTGATAAATATTATTTTGGTGTTGATATATCAAGAAAGAACTGTTGCTGCTGTGTTTTGATATAGCTTAGCATTATATAAGATGCTAAAGTTTGTCAACAAAGTATTCGTTCCTAAAAAGTACTTTTCTCATTGAAAGAAAAACTGTCTGCAATATGAATTTGAAGTCGTTGGTTTATTCCATTAGAAGCAATCTTGCAAGACATAGGAAAGTTTGTTCATTGTTGTTTTTTCTCTTTTTTTCCCCTGGTGGAAAAGAAAGGAGTATGATGATGCATTTTCTACCTTTCCCGTAAAATACGAGTTCTGGGTTTACCTTGATATAATATTATAACTTTCCATTAAAAAAAAGCAAGTTACTGTTTGAACATATGTATTTGTTCTTGGTTTGGCAGGGTTGGGAGACAGGTTGTGAACATTCCATCTTTCATGGTGAGGGTTGACTCACAGAAGCACATTGATTTCTCACTCACAAGTCCATTTGGCGGTGGTCGTCCCGGAAGAGTGAAGAGGAAGAACATGAGAGCAGCTGCTAAGAAAGCTGGTGGTGGTGATGGAGATGAAGAAGAGGAAGAATGAAGGCCAGGGGTTTTGATGTTTTTGCTTATACTGAGTTTCTTTAGTTCTATTAATGGCAGCTCTTATCAGTCAAGTTTTGTTATTTGTTAACTTTTTTTTTTTGGATTTTAATTGCCTGGTTGTTGATCTTGAAATGTTTTAATGAAGTTTTTCTTGCTGCATAATGTTTACACTCATTTTTTTAATATTAACTCCTTATACTTGAATTATAATTATTTAATATTAGAAATTTAGTGATAATGAAATAATTTGAACAAATTACAGGACTGAAATTTTGTTTTTGTTCTAATTATATTTTTACTTGCAAATATTTAGTAAATTATTACTTCTTTCATTTATATATTGAGTTTTAAAGCAAAAGAAAATGAGGGAGGCAAAATATTATTGTTTTACAAAAAGTTATTATAATTTCTCGAAATTTATTAATTAGAAGAGCTACTGATAATAATATTCCACAATGGGTGTAGCTTACTTATATGTATTCTATACAATTAAAAATTAAATTAAATTAAATTAAATTAAATTGAAGTACAAATATTATTGGCTGAAGCCTAAATATACACATAGAAAGGCTATGTAACTTTAATTTAATTTTTAATAAGAGTCATGCACAATATTTTTAATTATAACTTAATAAGAGTTATGCCTAAATTTAATCACATGATATTTAATATATAATAACATAATATTATCATATTGTATTATTCATTAAATTACGGTCCCAAAAGACAAATAAAGTTTTGGATCCGCACCCGGAGGAGTAAATTTAAGATTTAGCTCTTATTATACCGCCATTCAAACAGACACGGTAAATTTTGAATTTTTTAAAATCAGCTCCTCTCGGCAAGTTCTTGACTTAATAACCGTTGGGACTTCAATCCAACGTCTTATTTTCACTCTCGAATCTCCTTGCACCTCATTAGACACGGAAGCAAAATATTTGCAGATGAGTAAAATTATCTTCATCCTCTTCATTTTCTTTCTTTCTTTCTTCAATGTTTCTCATGGATTCTTCTTCTTTATCTACCTTTGGTTCTCTCTATACTGAACTCGTGTCAGTTCGCACCAGAGAACAACAAAGGGAAGAGTCAAAGTGTCTGCTATGGGAGACTCGTTTTCTTGAAGATGATGATGGCGATGAAAGGTGGCGACGAGGCGATTCTGTTTTGGCTTTCGCGAAGGGAACTCAAATGTCACATACGCAAACGCCAAAATATGGTGGCACGAAAACAGCTTTTGAGTTCTTGTAATGGCGGGTTCTACGAAGGGTTTCTTGTTGCCGGCTTTCGTCTCTATTTTTCTATACGTACCGTCTGCTAGCCAGCGCGCAAAAGCACCTCTTCTTTTCTTGGTGTCTTCTTCTCTCTTTTCTCCCTGAAATGAGGTCTAACAGAGCGGGCGTTCAGGTTAGTGTTAAACTTGATTTATTTCCATGGCTTTGGCTGTCTATTATTCCATTTGCTTCTTTGCGTCATCTTGATTAATTTCCGATCGCATTCTTTGGAAGCAGAAGTTGTTCTGTCGTTGATGTTTCGTTTTTATTTTTGGTTATTCAATCGGATGATTTCTCTTGTTAATATATTTGTTTGCGATGTCCCAGTTTTGATAGCTGAAGATTCTCAACCTATACTGCTGTTCAATTATGTATACATCTTCAAACTTCAAAAGCAATGTGAAAAATGGGCAAGTGATTTCTGTCTTGTTCAGCAAATATTGATTTATAATAATAAATACTAAAAAGTCAAGATTTAGAATATTGTTTGTACATGGGTGGTGGCCCTTGGAGCATTGGTTAGAAAGTTGTAATTGGAAAACTAGGCCAGTGATTAATCTTATGATATAAACTGCCTGCTTTGTAGTTTGGACTCATAGGAATTGCATCTCTTACTATCGTAACTTTATTGTTAATAGTAATTATGTTAGCAAAGAGTGATTTTAATATGCTTTGATTCTTTGATTTTTTGGTTATTGGTTCATTTGTTTCTTCTATGCAAATTACTGTTCTTGGTAGCTTCATTTTCTTCCCACCCTCACTGTTCTTATTTATTCTGTCTTCTTTTCTTATCTTTGGTTTGAAGGAACCATATATCCGAGGTCGTTATGATCCATACTTCAATGGTCTGTTAAGAGTTGACAGTGACCCGAGGAATCAAGCTTCTTTTTCTGACATTCACAGAAGTCCTGGAAATCAGAATTTTTTTAGGTCGACTTCTGATATAAGTGATACAAGATTTGCAAAGCTTGAATTAGCCATGTCCTCTGATATTATAATCAGATCTTATGAACATACTTCATCAGAAGCTTTATCAATTGTTACTAAAACAACTCCATTTACTAGTTCAAATGTTCAGTCAGAGTCAAGCCTTGAGTTGGGTAATCCAAGTGAATCAGTAGACTATAGTCCCAAGTCTATGGAAACTGAAGATAGCCATACTTCATCTCTTCTAGTGACACCTTCATTTGAAAAGTCATATATCTTGAATAGAAGGAAGCACGATTTCTCGAGGATTCCACTCCCGAGGTCAGCAGCATCATTTTATAATGGGTACTCACCACAAATGGAAATTGTGGAATCATGTCAAGGCATCAAAAGACTTAACTTGTATCTGAAAGCAAGAAGAGACGACCTCCATGCTGGTGTCCCTGGAAGATTCTTACATGCTGTAATTGGGCAAGATGGCTCTGGTAATCCCTACTGGTTAATTGTTCTACCCGTTGCTACTTTGTCAAGATCATTAAAGTGTTGGCTTTTGTGGGTTTGGAGTACTGTAAACATATATTAAACAGAATATGCCTAGGTCCATATATTATAGCAATGTCTGCATGAATATTTCTCAAACAAAGATAGTAATGCATGAAACCGAGGATGAAGAGACTGTAATGATATTTCAATAGCTGAAAACAAATATTTATTCAGGTTTCATATGCTGCTTCTGCATCACTTTTTTTGTTCAAGTGATCTCCTAGTCATCGTTTATATCTAGAAATTTGTTCTCAACTTGAATGAAATAAAAATTCCATTTGTAGTTGGACAAACTAAATTAACAGTCTTTCCCTTTATTCTCTAATGTAAAAGCATTATTCTTGTTATATTATTGGTAATCTGGTGAACTAGTTTGTTTGTCCTTCTCATAATATATAATAATTTCTCTTGCTAAGCATTACTGTCCAAAAAGGAAAATGTTCCAGGATTTTGTTTCAACTGGTAATTGCCAGAAATTATGCTCTTTTTTAAGCATTTCTGTCCGCAAAAGGAAGACATTCCAATATTGTATTCCAACTGCTAATGAACAATATATCATGTTGTTCTAATTGTCACTAAACTATTCACAGATGTTGGCACTGTTGCTTCAACAATAATGTATTCTTTCTACTTGAGTGAAACTCTTGAGAATGATCATTTGTGCACTGTGCCTGTCATCAACATGAGGAGAGCAGACCTGAATTCCCATGCTGAGCTAAAATGGCTCCTGGATTTTTGTCAAATCGATCAGTCATCCTTAATCTTTGCAGATGAAGTATGCTCACTTAGAACTCTTCATGAATTGACTTTCAGCTGAGTTTCATAAGTCGTGCGCCATGATTATTGTGTAATTTTCTTCTTTCTGAATGATGAAACATTGAACAGGTTGACCTGTCATATTATGATATATTTGGTGGTCTAAAGCTAGTTCTTCTGAATGGTGATAAGCTACCAACCAAACAAGAGGTAAGATTTTGTTAGAAAAACCAACTCTCTTCTTATTAATAAACAACGGATATATGTTCTTTCTGGATCAGGCACTAAAAGAAGCAGTAGTTGAAATCTTCAATTGCAGAAAGGTACACATACTTGTTGCTGTATGGTTTTCTTTTGGCATTTTTTTTTTTAATTTTTTTGTTTTTTATTTTTATTTTTATGTCAAGATATATTCACATGTGAGGATGCATAATAACACTGATTTTTGTCTTACAGGAGAACTCTTTATATCCTTGGGTTGAGACTATTACTGAGGGGCAGGTATCATTTCTTCAAACTTTTAATGATACATTTGAATTCTGAGATTCTATTCTGGATCTTGACGAGTTCACAAATTTAATTATAATATGAGGCAGACCTATATTGTATTTTTAGTTGCCATTTAGCAACTTTATGGTATGAGATAGACAAGCTACGACGCTAATTGATCCAAGGCAAGAAGCAAAAGGAAAAGATGGAGAAATTCATAGGAAAGAATAGAGAAATTAGGGGAAGAAAGGTCCTCCTATATAGACACCAGGTTTTGAGAACTTATCTCTCAAATAGGAAAGTAAATTCTAGTGAAGATAAAAGAAACAAGACTATTGAACCCTGAACAAACTTTACAAGACCCAGAACTTCTAAATTAGCTAAATATTTCCATAACATAGTAAAAGACATCAAGATTATATAATCACTCTCATAATGTTCTATAACCCTAAAATTCTTCCTTTTTATATCTTGTAATTTATCATTACTTCAGTTTTCTGGCAGAAGAATTGTTCTTTCTTTTTCCACCTTTTTCATGGGAATCTCATTTGGGAATTTGTGAAAATAGATCTCAAATGATTCTTTAGAATAATGTGGCATAACTGATTCTTTAGAAACGGAATAGTAGTAATGGAGAAGAAAAACATCATTCAGAATAATGTGGAACTTTTCATTGGGATAAACAGAGCAAGTGGCTTTTTCATAGCTTCTCTTAATTTTGGACCAGCCTGAGTAATCACATATCGTATCTCTGCTTCCAGGATTGTTCATGCTCCACGCTTGTTGCTGAGAAGTTTGCCCTGACTTCACCTGAAATATTGGCTGGGCAAGGATTTAGTCGACTTCTGGTAGTTACTGCTCCTAATGTTATTGCTGTAGCCTTCTTTTCCTTTATAACTCACACATCTCTTTTCAATCTGTTTGTTCTCTGGTCTTCCTGTACACACAGTTAGCTGGCATCCTCCTAGATACTGGGAACCTAACATCCCCTGGTTGTACCTCCAAAGACAAATATATGGCTACATTGTTGCTCAATGGTGCTGGCCGTTTTGGTTGTGATGGTCTTTACGAGATATGTAGGTTGCTTTGTCCTCAGCTTTTCTGTTGCTGTTCCTTTTGATACTTCTATGCTAATTCGTGGTTCTCATTTTCTTGTTGAAGTGAGATACAAGATGTTTGATGTGTCCACTCTTAAATTAGTGGATGTCTTGCGGAAGGATTTCAAGAAGTGGACAAGAGTAGGTCTGGAAATGCACTATCCTCTTGTGTTATTATTTGATAAAAACTAGAGCATCTGACCCAAATTTCTGTTGCTTCCTCTTACTTTCAATCTGAATATGGATGTCAGTTATTGATTTGATAAACTCCTGAGAATACCTAGAATCTATCTTTTTAGCTGGAAAATATCTAGCCTTTGTGTTTGATGAGCAATTTTTCTATGCAAAATAGCTTTTCTAACTGTGGAAAATTTTATGGATGACCCAAGTATCATAACCAAATTGAGTTACTAGTGGCAGTAGTTCCTGCACGTTAGACTCACATGTTTAGTACTTACAGTAGGTTAGGCGATCAAGTCAATAGGGACCTTTTTTTTTACTTGTGTGAATTTTAGCTTTTGCCGATAGCCATAGCCTGCCTGTTGCAGCAGCTCATGGCTTTATAAATATTTTACTTTTGGATGAGGTCATGAACTCAGAATTAGGGTCTATGAATCTTTCTTTTGGGGAGTTTAGGGTGTTAGGATTTCCTTATATTGAGCTACTCCGATCTGAGACTTTAAGATGTATTAAAATAGATTAATGCCTTCTTGAGTATACATTTCTTTATTACATCAATATTAGCTCTTGCATGAAGTGTAGTTCATACCTCCAAATTATCAAGCTATAGTAAAGGGTTTAATTCGTTAATTGTTGTTTTCCAAAATCATTTACGGATAGGGACATTGTATCTTTCATTGTCTTTCATATGAAGGTTTGTTTTAGTGAATTGAATCCTCAAATTACTTTTTACTAGACAGTGACCCCGTTTAGAAAGAGATAAATTGTGGGAAGACCTTCATACAATATGATAATTTAGCAAGTCAGCAGTTATACAGCTGATTGTTAAGTGTAATGGGTTAGAGAAGAAAAATACTGAATAATTCTTGTGTTTTTATTGAAATAAAAAGTAGGGATATATATACATGTAAATAAATTCATATATGTAACCAACATAAATTACCCTAATTATTTTCTTTTTAATTACACTTACATATTTAGAAAGATAATCATATTATTATATATAGAAAATATTCTGTAATATTCTAATACTCCCTTTCAAATTGAAGTATGAATATTAATTATGCACAGTTTATTCCGAAAATATTCAATCCGTATTCCATTAAAAAGTTTTGTGAATATATCACTAAGTTGTTATCCTGTCTTCACATAACCAGTAAATATAAAGTTTTTTTAAATTTTCTCTCGGATAAAGTGACAATCAACTTCAATATGTTTGGTTCTCTTATAATACATAGGATTTGAAGCAATATGAACCGCAACCTGATTATCACACCAGAGTTTTGCAGGAGATGTGGGTTTCAAACCCACTTCATCTAACATATGATATATCCATAAGATTTCGCCTATGGATTGGGGCATAGCTTTATATTCGGACTCTGCACTTGAGCGAGATACAACTGTTTCCTTATTACTTTTCTATAAGATGAGATTCCAATCAACAAAAACACAATATTCCGTAGTAGACCTCTTATCAATCTTAAATCTAGCCCAATCAGAATCTGTAAAATATTCAATATGAGTATGCCCCTAATTTTTGAATACTATGCTAAGCCACGGGGCACTTTTTAAGCAGCACAAAATCTGTTCCAAAACCTCCCAATGTTTGACTGTAAGTGTCGACATAAACTGACAACTCTGACAGGGAATACAATATTTGAACGAGTCAAAATAAGATAATTTAATTTTCTAACAAGTCGTCTGTATTTATCTGGGTCATCAAGGGGATCATCATCATCTTTAGTAAGATGTACATTTAGTAGCATTGGTGTATTGTATGGCTTAGCTTCCAGTTTTCTTGTTTCTGCAAGTAGATCAAATACATACTTTCTTTGAGATAACAGAATCTTTTCCTTACTTCTTGTTACTTCAACCCCTAAAAAGTATTTTACCTGTCCCAAGTCTTCAGTATTGAACTTGGTATGCAAGAATGACTTGAGAGAAGATATTTCTACATGGTCATCTCCTGTGATCACAATATCATCAACATAAACAATAAAAAGTATAATATCATCAGTTGATTGTCTATAGAAGACTGAATGATCACATTTTCTTTTCTTCAATCCGAACTCACATCTACCTCACTAAACTTGTCAAACCATGCACAGGGACTCTGCTTCAAACCATACAAAAGATTTGTTTAAATGACATACTTTCCTATACTCTCATTGAGCAATAAACCCAGGTGGTTGTTTCATATACACTTTTTTTAAGAGATCACCATGAAGAAATGCATTTTTAATATCCAACTGGTGTAAGGGCCAATCTTGAGAGGCTGCAATAGATATGGATAAATGGATAGAGATAAATATGACCATAGGAAAGAATGTATCAGAATAGTCCACCTCATAAGTTTAAGCATAGTCTTTCGTTACCAGTCGAGTTTTAAGTTTTACCACAAAGCCATCTGGATTCACTTTGATTGCAAATACCCATTTGCACCCTACAATCTTTTTTCCTTTAGGTAAATCTACCAGATCTCAAGTATGATTATCATCAAGAGCATTTATCTCCTCAAGCATAGCATTACGCCAACCAGGGTGATTCAGAGCCTCCTTAACTGTCTTGAGTATAGAGATTGAATTTATAAAAGTAATTAAAGTACTAGATGAAAGAAAGAGATGGTCATATGATATAAAATTAGCAATGAGATAAGTTAGCGTAGGAATGGTGCACTGACATTTGCCTTTACAAAGACCAATGAGAAGATCAAAGTCCTGTGCGATAGAATCAGATGACGACAGATTTGGTGCAGGACATGTATCATTAGTTTGTTGTCTTCTAAAATAAACATGAACAATTGGTGGTGGTAGTCGGGTCAGAGACACAAGAACATTATTATCAACTTACTAGAGTAGAGCTAGAGGCACATCATCTGGAGGAGTACTTTTATTTGTTTGCTCAGTAAAGGCGCTTGGTTTGAAGTTATAAATGAGTCACTTGTTGTCTACCTTCGGACTTGTATACTTGGACGATGAGGAGAAGAATGGTATATTCTCTGAAAAAACCACATCAGTTGATACCAAATATTTATTGAGATCTGGAAAGTAGCAACTGTATCCTTTTTGGAGATGAGAATACCCCAAAAATACACACTTCAAGATATTTGAGTATAATTTTGTCACAGTAGGTTGCACATTTCGAATATAACAGGTACTATCAAATATCTTAGGTTGTACGGAAAACAAATACTTGTTCGAAAAAAGGAGATTGTAAGGAACATCCCATCAAGTATTGTTGATGACATACGATTAATCAAGAAATAAGCTGTAGAAACAACATCAACGCAGAATCGCTTAAGGACTTGTGTTTGAAACAAGAGGGCTCGAGCTGTCTCAAGTAAATGTTTGTTCTTCCTCTCAGCGATCCCATTTTGAGATGGTGTATCAACCCACAAGAATTGGTGAATGATCCTATGTTGAGTCATATAGTTCTGAAATGAATCTGACATATATTTCTTGACATTATCACTCATCCTCAATACATGCACAAAAATATTGAATTGTGTCTTAATTTCAGCATATAAAGCACAAAAATTAGAAAATATTTATGAACGATTTCCTATAAAATATATTCAAGTCATGCAAGAAAAATCATCGACAAAGTAACGAAATACTTGAACCCAGTTTTGGACGGAATAGGGCAGGGGCCCCAAATATCAAAATAAACTAACTTAAAAATAGATTCATATTAACCTTTGGACTTGATGGACTACGGTGATGTTTTGCAAATCGACATGACTCACAATTCAGTGAGGATATATTGTGAAATTGAGGACATAACTTCTTTAACACAGGTAGAGATCGATGTCTCAATTGACAATGTGCTTCAAATGGAGAGATAATACTGGAGCATGCAACAGATCGAGGTACCCAAGTATCAAGAATGTAAAAACCATTCGACGTATTTGCTTTATCAATAATTTGTTTCGTCATAAGATCTTGAAGAACACAGTGATTAGAAAAAAATGTAATACAACAATTCAAATATTTAGTTAACTTACATAAATTAGATTGAAGACAAGTTTAAATAGATAGAGTAATAGATGATGTTGGTTTTGTGGTCCTCAAACCCACAATATTATATGTCGACCCATCAGCAATAGTTACAGGAAAAGATATTTTGTGTGGTTGAAAACTAGAAAAAATATAAAGATTACCTGTCATGTGATCCGTAACATCAGAATCAATCACCCATCTGTTTGAGGAGGAGATAAGACATTTTTTTCCAGATTCAGTAAGATTAGAAAATTTATTCAAAGATTCCTGATATTGAGTAAATTTAGTATACTCATCAGCTGAAATTATAACAGTTCTCTCAGAAGATAAACTACAATAGCAGCAACAATATATTAGTAGTCTGTGTCATCCGATTGTGATTCTGCAATTTCTTACAGTACCACTTTATATGCCCTTATTCATGGCAGTAATAGCAGACAATATTATCATCTATTTTAATTCAGAAATTACAAAAAAATACCACTCATAATACCCAAATCACAACAGTAGAGATACTCAGAAAACATTTCAAAGAAACTAGAAAATCTAATAAAACAGAGTATCTCTTCACACACGGGTATCAACAATCCTACAAGGATCTCATTGTCAACCACCGAAGGACTTGCGTTGCCGCATGAACCCTGCCTAAAACCACCAAACCTTCTCCTTTCGGCCAGTAATCACCACAGAACTTCAATGCCAGCCCTAATCCAGAATGGTGCTCGCAGAAACACCCCAAATCGTGCAGGAGAGTGGAGAATCGCTGGCCGTCGGGTGATTTGCTCCGCCGCACCTTTTTTCTCTTCAACCTTCTGGTTTCGTGCACAAAACCGGCCAACCTAACTCCTCTGTTGCTTCTATCCTCGAATAGGAACCCAGAACGCACGAAAATGCTCTCCTCCGGCAATCCTGCCGCACACAGCCACAAACCGCCGCACGAACCGCTTCCTCGGCTTCTCCCGCATACACAACTGTGCTGGCTGCACTTTGAACTAGTTGGAGATTGGTGGTTGTCTTTCTCCGACATCGGGAATGGGTTGTTCAACCCTTCTTTTGGTCTGATGTGATTTGACCTCTAAAACTCT